GCTCTCGCTCCGACATGAGCCACGAGCACATGCCCGTCCGGGACCCGACGTAATCCGGCAGGAAAGCCAACGCCGCGAACGCGGACGCGAAGCTGCCCGCCCCTTCGATGATGAAGAGCCACTGCCAGCCCGCGAGCCCGCGCGCGCCTTCGAGGTGCGCAAAGACGGCGGCGGCGATGAGACCCGAGAATGCGGTCGCGACGAGCATGCCCGAGTAGAGGATCGCCGTGCGGAAGGCGATTTCTTTTTGGGTGTACCAGCAGGAGAGGACGTAGAAGATCTGGCCATCATGGTGAGTGTTTTAGCAGACGTCAATGGCTCTCTACACCTGAACGAGATTCGGGGAGGACCAGCTGAATAGACCATTGAGAGGGGGATGTTCACGACAACAGCAGTGCGTCACTTACCCCGGGGAAGAACGGCGCCTCGACGACGCCAAGTATCACTCTAATAGCGACGAGGCTCGAAAAGTTCTTCGCCGCCGCCGTCGAGGCCGACACGCACGACCACAGGAGCACGCAGCACGGGAGGTATATGCTCGGACGCACGCGGGTGATGAGCATATTGGACGGCAATTGGGCGACCATGTACCTGTTCATCAAGACGAAGGGAAGTCAGTGACGTACCCAAACAGGAAAAAACGGCGAAAGATCCAAATTACCCACCCGACATTGAATATCGCTACGGCAGTGTTGAACTGCTCCCCCACGAGCCCGAGATCCGCCTCAAACTTGTCCAACTTGGCCTGTCTATATCGCGGGTCACCATCATACGTCATCCTTAAACGAATATCTGCCTTTCTGCCATGAACAACAGACCAACAAACTCCAATATCAAATGATTCAAAACCCCCAGGAAAGGAGACGAGAAAACGTACGCGAGATTATTCCTGTCAAGGTAATTGAACATGTACAGCGTCCAAATCACCGGCATAAGCGTCACATCCAGCTTCCGCACCAGCCTCTTCTCCGCCGCGCGCCACTCGGGGTGTGCCATGGCCACTTCATCGGGGGTCTCGAGGACGAGCTGCGGGGATGATGGAGACACTGGCGATGACGACGGCGACGCGGAGGGCAGCGGGCCCTTTTCGATCGTGTCGACTGAGACCTCCTCTTTACTCGCAGGGGTGATCTTACCCATCTTAGCGACTTCGGATTCCTTCCCGGGTACGATTGTCAGCGCGGACGATTGGAAATCGATGGTTAAGGGGGGTTCAGAATGCGAGGTGAAGATGAACCGTTGACCAAAGGGTTTGAAGGTGGGTGTGGCAGCTTTTGTCTTTTGATATATCGAGTCAAACCGGGCTGGCGTCGCCTCGCTTTCGGACATGAACATGACCTGGATGGTAGAAGCCAGAAGGTTTATATTTCTTCCCCTCTTCCCCTCCTCCTCTTCCACGTTCGTCCTTCATTACTCACATGGCAGCACATGGGAAATGGCCCAAAACAAGCAAAACAGCAAGACATCAATAAGCCGAAAACCATGGCTCCCGATAACGAGCTTGGCTTCCAGGTTTTGCCGGTTATAATCACCAGCGTCGAGTCTCAGCATGTCAACTCGAACGAGTGTATTCGCACCACATTGGGCGGGGGTGGACGGGAATGCCCACCAACGTTCCACACTCCAAAGTCAAAATCAAACCGTGGTCCGTCGCTAACTCCCGGGAGCCCGAGATGCTTAAATTTTCTCAGCAACCAAGGTAAGGTATGCAAACTATTAAACTCTACGACGCGTCGCGGCTGTGACGTTGGAAGGGGAAGGGAGGGTAGGGATGGTAGGTCATCTACGAAAGCTTGGGCTCAAGCTTGTAGGAAAGTCTATTCGTCCAATACCGCCTGTCTGCCGTGGTATGGACGAGCGTGTGATCGGACGGAGACTTTTTTGACTCGGCCGATGCGCTTCCGTGAGGGGTTATGATAGGGAACGGACCTTCAGAATCGTGGTCTTCGTTTGTCTTTTCCTCTCATATAAAGAGGACGGCTATTATCACATACAGCATGATGGGCGGTTCCTTGTGCTGTGAGATTCAAGAAAGACAGGAGATGTATATGCTCAACGAAGTTACATCGTAAATGACCTATGGTTGACTCAGAAATATTAGATCAATGTTACACATGTGATATCGAGACACTTTGCCCAACACCAAAGTCATTGCACCAATGCGTCTCATGATTACCTGCCATACCTGCACAATTCGCCCATTCCATCCAACGACGTTCTCACACCATCGTCTTGCGAAGGTCAATGAGCTGTCGGACTATGTACATGCGCACATCTCCAACCTCATAACAACCGAGCAAACTCGCCGCAACGGCTCCGATGTTCTAGAACCAAAAGAAGCACCCAAGACCGAACCGACCTCGGCGCTCACCCACGCACGGTACACAGTATCCGTAGTTGAAGTAGTAAGTCGTGTCTATTATTCAGCAAAAAGCCCAGCAAACAAGACGGGAATAAGTCCAAACCCCCTCCACCTCGCAAGAGCATGAGGCTCTCTGAATGGTCAGTCGTGGAAGTAAACTATAGCCAAGGGCCAGCAACGCGTCTGCCGTTGCCGTCTGCCCGAAATGTCCGAATGGCGAGTTGGCCCTCATTTTAACAATGGAGAGTCGTTGAAGAAAAGAGACGATCACAGGAATGTGGGGATGGGAATAATCCAACGCAACACTAGCCTAACTGCATCCACGGCAGTTGCGTCATGAGGGAGGCGATGTCGGTTAGAAAATCCCCGGATACTATCTCGGCGCGTCTTGGCGGGGTTTCCTCGGACTTTGATTGAACTTCCCTCTCTGTTTCTCTGTCGTTCATCCGCAATCTCATAAGCACATCAGTTTCCAACATCTATCTTGACAGATTATTCTATATCAGTGGCCTGGATAGTTGAGGTCAATCAAACATCAGCCATCATAGTGAAATTGATCTAGCAATTGAGGCCGAAAATGGCATCAAGCAACGATAGCTCCTCAACCCCAGTCTCGGCAGCAACAAAGCTGCGGCAACGCCTCAACGAGACGGACGACCTGATTCTCCTACCAGGTGTCTACGATGGCTTCAGCGCCAGAATCGCACTCGAAGTCGGCTTCGACGGTCTCTACATGGTAAAGCCCACAATCAGCATCTCACTCTGACTCACTCCGCCCCTTCACTAACACGGAGGCAAAACCCCCAGACCGGCGCAGGAACATCAGCCTCAAAACTAGGCCTCCCAGACCTCGGCTTCGCAACCCTAGACGACATGCGCTCCCACGCCGAGATGCTCGCCAACCTAGACCCTAACATCCCCCTAGTAGCCGACGCAGACACAGGCTACGGCGGCCCCAACATGGTCGCCCGCACCGTAACCCAATACGCCCGAAGCGGCGTCGCAGGCCTCCACATCGAAGACCAAGTCCAGACAAAACGCTGCGGCCACCTCACAGGCAAACAAGTCGTCGACACAGACGTCTTCCTCTCCCGCATCAAAGCCGCCTTCCTCGCGCGCCGCAAAATCGGCTCCGACATTGTCGTAATAGCCCGCACCGACGCGATCCAGACGCACGGCTTCGACGAGGCGCTGCGCCGGCTCCGGGCGGCCGTCGAGGCGGGTGCGGACGTCGCGTTCCTCGAGGGCGTGACGTCGGCGGAGGAGGCGAGGACGGCGTGTCAGGCTCTCGCGCCGACGCCGGTGCTGCTCAACATGGTCGAGCACGGTGCGACGCCGTCGTGGACGGCGGCCGAGGCCAAGGAGCTGGGGTACCGCATGATGATTGTGCCGTTTGCGGCCATTGCGCCGGCGTACGAGGCGATTCGCGAGTCGCTGGCGAGGTTGAAGGAGACAGGCGTGGTGGGGACGAAGTCTGACTTCTCGCCGAGGAAGTTGTTTAGCATTGTTGGGCTGCAGGAGGCGATGGAGTTCGATAAAGCTGCCGGTGGGAGCTCGTATAGCCAGGTGTGATGGGTGAAAAAATCGACGGCCGCAGGGGACTAGATTCGATATAGAGAATTTGACGACGGCCTCTGTGATCCCATGTTTATTCCTGTGGAATATACACCCGACCCACCTGGGCTGACCACTTGCCTTGTGATAACCATCCCGATGAGCACCTGCCGTAAGAGTGCTCGCCTTACCTTATATTCAAATCGAGCGCCCTTTTTCTCAACCAAGCCCAATCGAGCCCGGTGGCCGAGCGGTATAGCGCATTGAGACGTTAGGATACGAACTTGGTGAGAAACCCTGAGAAGTCTGCTTCCCCAAGCAGATGGAGAGCTTCGTAGGTTGTAGCATAGTCTGGGCTCGATTCCCGGACCTTGCACCCGAGCTTTTGTTTTTTGGCCCTCTTTGATTGATATTAGGAGATACTGGCAGGCTATTGTAGTGAACTCTGCATACTTTCGACGTCATTCGTTTGGAGGTTGACCTACCTAGACGAGCCGATGCATGTCGCGGGGTTTAATCTAGAATAATCAGCAAACTCAGCACAGCAAACGTCCATGCCGGTCGACCACATCCCGCGTCCCATTTGCCTTCGCATTCCGAGGTCTATCTCCGAGATGCCTCGCAATCTGGATTTACTCTCGGCGGTGCCGTAATGGCGGTACATTACGTGCTCGGTTTCATGACGCTGGCCGGACCGTTCCGTTGACTTCCCTATGGTCCGCAACCATCTTACAAAGCTCGACAGCGAAGCGGATGATTACCACGTAACACCTACCCTAGGCCGAGCTCTCGACCGAGATGCTAAAGGGGGCAAGCTACATCAGCTTGCTTTTCCGTCTGAACAATTGATGATTACGTCGCTCATCGTTCCCCCTCGACTTCAAGATGGCAGAAGTCAGCCGATTCAAGCTACACAAGATGATGTGGCAGCAAGAAATCTTCATGTGACACACCCAGGCTAGGACCTGGTACATCGATCTAACGCAATGGAGGGCCATTCCAGTACCGTGAGTCTAGTGCTGTTGTATAACAGCTGCGATGTCAGTAACAAACGCGACGAATATATTGCATTGGTTAAGATGTGCCGTGAGATATCATTAATGGCTCGAAAGTGCATTCGTATTCCGAACACTGCGTCCGCGATAATATCCGAACATCCGAGGAGCCTGCGTTTAAATCGTTTCTATTGCAAAAAAGGGTCTCTTCGTATTGGTACAAGCCATGACACGCCCCTTACAAGGCGCCGAGCTCCTTGAGCTTCGCAACGAGACCGTCAACGTCCTCGACCTTGCCGCCACCCTGGCGTTGAGGGGGCTCTGTGAAGATTCGTTAGCTCGCAAATTCTCCAGAGAAAAACATGACCAATCCGTTTTCTGAGCAGACATGTTGGGGGAAAGACAGTAGTCTCGCCAAGAGCGCAAAGAATAACTCACCAGTAACCTTCAAAACCTTCAACCTCTTCTCAACACCAATCCCGTAGTCGGCCAGCTTCTTCTTCTCAAGCGGCTTCTTCTTCGCCTTCATAATATTCGGCAAGCTCGCATACCGCGGCTCGTTGAGTCGCAGATCCGTCGTAATCACCATCGGCAATTTCGCCTTGACCGTCTCCACGCCACCATCGACCTCGCGCGTGACGCTCACGCTGTCCCCCTCGCCAAACTCCACCACACTCGCCGACGTAGCCTGCGGCCACCCAAGCAATCCAGCGAGCATCTGGCCCGTCTGGTTCGCGTCGTCGTCGATGCTCTGCTTGCCGAGGATGACGAGGTTGGACTTGTGCTCCTCGGCAGCCTTGCGCAGCAGCTTGGCAACGCTCAAGGGCTCCAGGTCGTCGCCCTCCTTGGTCTCGACGTGGATCGCGCGGTCGGCGCCCATGGCCATGGCGGTGCGCAGCACGTCGACGGCCTTGGGGGGTCCCGCCGAGATGACGGTGATGTCCTCGACGCCGCCAGGCGCCCGCTTCTTCTCGCGGATGCGGACCGACTCCTCGACCGAGAGCTCGTCAAAGGGGTTCATGGAGTGTTTGACGCCGGCCGTCTCGACGCCCGTCTGGGCCTTGTTGACTCGGGGCTTGACCTAAGTTTTGCGGAACCATTGATGTTAGTTGAGGACCACACAATCACAAGCCAATTTTCTGCGGGAGTGCCATTGCGTGCAGTCGTGAGCAGAGCTTTGGTAGACGTACAGCATAGTCAATGACCCGCTTCACGGGGACGAGGATTCGGAGGGCGGACATGACTGGGCTCTCTCTCGTTATGCTTCTTCAATGGCCCGGTGGTGATGCGTGGAGGGGGGCTGCTTGTGGTACTGCGCAGATGGGAATTGGAGGGTGTGGTGGGAGCTCGAGGTCTTCAATGGTCGAGGTCCGTGTCGTCACTGGGGAAAATGGGACCTCCGTCGTTAGCGATACCGGCTAACCTCGGGTCACCGCCCCACCGTAAGCCCTTTTCGGTCATTCGAGTGTAGACGCCGACTTGCAGGCTCATAATCCCGAAGCTCCTCTCTTTTGGTCGAATTGCTCGTTTGGAAGTCTCGCCCTCACATGAAGGCATCTCGGCTTTGAGAAGTTCGCTTCGCTCAACTCTATCCACTCAGCAGAGCACTGTCACCATGAAAGCATGAGACACACTTAGCTTAACAGTTGCACACCTATTAGACGTACCAATGCATAGCGTCTCTAAGGTCGAAACAAGTGATATTGCAGTCTAAATTGATATTCTTCGACTTGCAGGCCCGCCAAAGCACAACAACCGCTCACCCACCGAACCCCTAAGCCCTCCTCTCCGGACCCCGTATATAACGCCCGCACTCACCAGTCATCCCATCCATCATTGTCCTTCTTCGCAGCCGGTGCCGCGGCACCTCCAGTCTTCTTGCCCATAGCAGACGTACCAATCGAGCTGCCGCTCTGCGTCTGCCTCTGGTCCGCCAGACTGCTAAAGCTGTCCCAAAAGTCCTTTTTGCTCTCATCCAACGGCGCCTGTCTCGACGCTCCGCCCTGGCCCCCTTGGCTGGGACCGCCCTCGACGAAGCGGTTGAAGCCGTCGTGGGCATTGCGGGCACCCTGCTGCGCGACGCGGCCCGCGTTGGCCGCCGCCATCTGCGCTTGCTTTGCAAAGTCGGATTCGGCAAGCTGATTTCAAGGAGGACGTCGGATTAGTCCAGAGTTCTTCGTTCGGGCCGGCGCCGGAGGAGATATGATTGAAGTAGAAGAGTCACCCACCTGTTTCGCTGTGGGCTGAATGTAGCCATCGTTGACCGTCTTAGCCGTCTTGGAGACGGTGGTTGTGAACCAGCCGAACCCCTTAGTCAGAGCAGCCACTGGATCCCTCTGTAGATCATCGACGGTCGGGATACCGCTTTCCTTCTTCTCGGGCATGGGGCTGCTGCCGAATCCTGCGTATTTCCCTCCCTGGCTGGGAGGCAAGTCTTCGGATCGGGAGGCGTTCTCGGCGCCGAGCTTGGAGAAGTATTTGTCGTCCACCTTGACCTTCCTGCCGGGACTGGCGGCGCGGCTGTTTGTGCTGCTGAGAGGGGTGCCCGTTCGGCTGGCCGGCTTCGCCACCGGTGCTGGTGCAGGTTTCTTCTCGCCGGGAACGTACTCCTTGCCCTCGACCTTGGCAGAGAGCCTATCCTTCCACTCCTCACCGACCTCGCCACTGTATCGCTCCGCGATCGTCGCGTCGTCCCACGAGATGCCTCTCATCTTGGTGTCCTCGTGCTGTTCGAAGAAGTTGCGCCAATTCTCGTTGCCACCCAGGCGCATCCGTTCGATCTCGACCTGCTTAAATGCGTCCATTGAAATGCTGCGTACAAAAGAAATGTGCACACCGAGACCGCGGTGGACACCGGCGCATGAGAGGCAGATGAAAATGCCGAACTTCGGGGATGCCCATTGCGGGGATGGTGCGTTGCAGTCGCAGCAGACGTTATTCTTGGCCTCCTTTTGAATCGCGGCCAGCTGTGAGGAGACGTTGGGTTAGCGGCGAGTCGCGAAGTCGCAAGCGACGCACTCGACTTGGAAGAAGACTCACCTTGGCGCGCGTCTCGGGATCAACCTCCCACATGGCCTTGGAAGCCATCGTGGGAAGCAATCAGGGCTGGTGATTGGGTATGAGGGGGAAACGCGTGGCAAAGGAGAGCAGGTTGAGGTACGTGGGAGGTTGTCTTGTCGCAGAGGAGTTGTGGAGGGGCTTTCTCGATGCCGATAAGGGGTTTTGCTGGCAGTCGACTAGGGTGCGGGAGTCTGGGCGTCTGGTCGGGTTGGGTACCTTTTAGTGACTGACGTTGCCCTCAATTTCATCCATGTATTTGAGTTTCCTGGCCCAGGGGAACGGACACGTGAGCTACCGAGTCTCTGGTAACACCAACCTGCCAATTTGTGCTTCCAGTCCCATGTAGTCATCGTCATGCTCGAGTGTATGGATTCTCATTCAAGCAATCGAGACAGTTCATATGGAACCTCTCAAGTCGGTCAGGTAGTCACGGTGCAAAAGACAAGGTAGACAGGGGCCCTTCAACTCCATGGGGCTCTGCTGGAGACTCGCCAGACAAGGAAAGGTCCAGACTTCGTTCGGTCTGGGACACTTGGCTTTTGGGGCTCTGCCGCCACCCAATGGTAGTCCTTGAAACGCTATACATGCACCACCGAAACCAACCACGGATTCCCACCGAATGGTCAACGAAAAGTGTCCCAGTCCTGAAAACAACATACCTTAATACCTTCCTAAATCTGCATGGCCATGGATCTCCATGTGCGAACTTTGCAAGGCAGCACTCTGTTAGCAGCCGTTCAGACGATTTCTGCGAACTCGAACTACGTTCCGCAACCTTAAAATCACTTAACGATGATGCATTCTCTCACCGATTATTGGTGTTGCACCGCCCTTTTGTATTTTTTTGTTAACTGTAAAAAGCTACCCGATTTGAAACGTTTTGCGCCAAACTTTTCCTCTTCCTTTTAGACCGCCTCCAGCTTAAGCTAATTTACAACCCAGCATAGGGTGACGGAGAAATGGGAGGTTAGGTAACAAGTACAGAAGAGGTGGCCGGTAAGATCATGTGTATTAGTTTAGGGATGGTGGCAGCCCTGCACATCTTGTTTGGCCTATCTACCGAGAGCGAATCTCGTAAAAAGGCAGACGTAGATGTATTTGGCCACCTTTTTGGTGGGCACTTCCAAAAAATTGAAATCGTCGTAACAGGTACCGCATCGTAAAGCTCGTAAAGACAATGGCTCGGGAGGTTGGGCCGAGACGCGTTGCCGGGGCTGTAGGTTGGTCGCCTACACTTAGGCGGTGGTAGCGGGAGCGGCGGCCGGGGTCTCGGCAGCAGCAGGAGCAGCCGCGGCCTCGGTGGCAGCCTCCTGGGTGCCGTTGGCCTTGGTCTCCTCCTTGGGGGCGTTGGCCTCCTCGTCGGTCTTGTCGGGGCTATCGATAGCGACCTTGACGGCGATCTCGCGGCCCTCAATCTCCTTGCCGTTCATCTCGGAAACAGCCTTCTGCTGAAGCTCCTCAGAGGCAAGGGTAACGAAGCCGAAGCCACGGCCCTTGCGGGGCTCGCCGCGAGCCTGAAGCTTCTTGATCATGAAGCGGGGGATGGGGCGGAGAGCGATCTTGGCGGAAGAAGGCTCGTAGGCGGCGAAGAGCTCCTTGAGCTATTGAAATGTGTCAGTACGACGCAATCAACAGAGCCAATGATAATATCATACCTTCTCCTCGGTCAGGTCGTAGGGGAGGTTGGCGACCATGACCTTGGTCTTGGAGGCAATGCCGTCGGCGGGAGGGCCACGCTCGCGACGCTCACGGGGGGCACGAGCCTCAGCGGACTCGCCGGCCTTCTGGGTCTTGGCGGCATCCTTGTTGGTGGCATCGGTCAGAGGCAGAACCTCAGAGGTAGCGGGAGCGCCGGCAGGGACCTCGGCGGCAGCACCCTCGATGGGAGTGCCATCCTCCTGTAAATTTGTAAGCAGCTTCTCGCAAACTGTTGTGTGACTTCAACTTACGTTGCGGCCACCGCGGGCACCACGACCGCCACGGCCGCGGCCACGTCCACGGCCACGGCCGGAGGCGCGGCGGCGGTTACCCTCACCAGCACCCTCACCGTTGGCACCCTCGGTCTTCTCTCCAGCGGGCTCAGGCTTGCGGGCAAGCTGAACCGAGACCTTACGCTCGAGAATCTCCTTGCCGGAAAGCTCAGAGATGGCGCGCTCAGCCTCAGAAGGGGTGGAGAGGTCGACGAAGGCGTAGCCAACAGGTCGGTCGGTGCGAGGGTTCTTGGGAATGGAGACGGACTCGCTATGGAAAATGGCGGGTCAGTATGAGTTGTCATGTGTGACGCAAGTGGGTGGAATTTTTGCGGGGCAGGGGAGGGATGAGAGGCCACGCTGCAACATCGTGACAGTTGAGAGAAGCGGTCTAGGCAACAGCAGCAGCAGGGCAGCAACGGACGCAACGCGACGCCCAACCTCGATGCATCGTGAGTCAAGTGCACACGATGCAAGCAAGTGGGCATCGATGCGATGTCAGAAGCATTGGCGTAGAGGATATGTGGGGAACAGGTGCTTTGGGAAGGTACAGCTTCCTCGGAAACAAGCTCGCACGATCGCCTAGAGTAGGCTCCCATGATGAAATGACGACAGGTTGAGGACGCCAACAAGGTCGGTGACGACAAAAAGTGACGACGAGAGGATTCGCGACAACTTACACAAGGTAACCCTTGAAGAACTCCTTCAACTCCCCCTCCGTTGTCGCGTAGGCCAGGTTGCCGATGTACAGACGGCGTCCCTCAGCAGCGCTGGCGAGGACGGCATCGTTGTTGGCGGCAGGCTTATCGGCGGCCTTGTCGGAGATAGTGGCATTGCTCAGAGCATTGGTAACGTCATTGACGGCTTCGGAAACCTTCTCGACGGCAGCAGACATTTTGGCGGTGTTGGTCTGGTGGATGGAGACGGAGGTTTGTGGTGGTTGAGGCTGCGTTTCGGTGAAGTGCGTGATAACAGATGACGTGCGAACTTGGACCCGGTGGCAGGAACGAAGATTCGAGATTGATGGAGAATGGAAGTTCGGTGGATTAGAACTCTGAAACAATGAGGGGGAATTTTCTCAGGGTAGCTTGGTGCCCTAGAAAGCTTGAAAAAAGTTGACAGACGACGTTGCGTTGCGCGGTGACACAGGATCTTGAATTTGTGATGTGGAGGGAAAGGAGAGAGGAAAGGGATGGCTCAAGCCGCGACCTCAAATACAAATATTTTTTTTCTGGTGAGCAGGGGAAACAGAGGACGAGGGTAAGCGAGGCGCAAACCCACCGAACAGCAGGTGCGGCCCACGTTCTGGG